GTCCTCCCGATCTGTTATCCGACACACACCCCGTGTCATTTATCTCACCCGCGATCGCCCATAACTCGCACAGGCATCCTGGCGTGGCGTTAGTCCGCCAAGGATCGGCGCCGTAATACGCGCTTCGTCCCGCGCGTCCCGCGAGTACCACGCGAGGTACTCGCCACTGTATTCTCTCGCCTGCGAGAGCACCGAAAATACATGTTACCTTCACTACTATTAAATACCGGAGCAATTATTTTCTTTTCCTGTCGCTCTCCTAAGCCTCGCCTTAACGAACCGCCCCTCTGCCTTTGTCGGAGCTGGTTAGCCGGCCTTCCGCGCCGTCGTTGTTCGCCCGTCCGGACTTTCGCGCAAATCTAAGTTGCCTCGATCTATAGAGTTGTGCGTCGAGAATCGGAGATAACTCATATATTATATAAATTTGGTTCGCTCACGCGGGCCTGGCGCCCAAATCCCGCTTACATCCGCGGAGACGGTTACGGTAACGTCTGAATTCTTTGTATCTCCGATCGGGACGCGAAACTCCGCTCTACCCGGACGTGCGAACTCCCGACAAGATTGCCTCGCACCTACGCGTGCGGTCGCAACATATAATAAAAGAATATTCTATGCGTACATGCAGTGTGACGCTTCTCATGCAAGTATAACTCAATCTTTCGCGCTTTTCGTAAAAAATACTAGCGTTACTTTTCCGATCGTTTGACTCAAAATAGAACTTGTAAAAAGATTACAATCTTCCAATTATCAATGCCTCGTACAATCCAAAAAGAATTCTGACGAGAATTATCGTTATTATTAAAATGAGCCAAATAATTATGTCACCATGCACAGATATTAGTAAAGCGTATACTACAAAGCGTAAGAGTCTCATCCAATCAACTCCTAACTACTTCTTTACTAATTAACGGGTTTCGGAAAATTTACTTCTCTGTGAATTTTCTAAGTTCTTATGCTCAAAAAAAATTTGCGCAGGGGTTCCCTTAGGCTTAAGCTGTTTTACTTTTTTTCAAGCAATTTTCACACGACTTAGTCACTCCCGCACTTAACTTTCACTCGGAATTAATTATTTCTGAAAATCAATTGTCGCGGTTAATTATCAAGCAACCGTGATGAGTAGTCACTCGGAATCGCAATGCGTTTCACGGTAACTAGCCAATCACATTTATTTTTAAGTGCACTCGCGTTTCTTCAAACTTTTCGCGTTTCGCGCTTCGAAATTTAAGATTTCGGAAAATATTTGCTCAATTGGCAAAATAATTAATAACTCTACTGAGTTTTTGTGAGTCTAAATGTATTTCATAAATTTTTTTAGTGTCGCGCTTTTACTTTCACTCGTTTCTATGAAAGTTTACTTTAACTTTCGCCCGTCGGCAATTTTTCTTTTAATTTTGCACTTTGGCAATTCTTTATTTTAATTATGCACTTTGGCATTACTTTACTTTATTTACTTTAATTTCGCGCACTGAGTTTAATTGGATTGTCTCGCTTTGAGACTGTAGACTCTGTTAATTAACATGCATTCATGCAGTTAGTGATAAGTATCATGCAACATATATATCTCATGCAACATGTACGAACGTGTTCACAAAATGGCCGCCTTATGACGTCACGTGAAACGGTTTTCTGATGCAACGCGCTATTTCCTTTGTGAAATACGCAATGAAATGAATCTAAATTTACTCGAAATTTCCGTCAGCTATTTATTTCGACATTATGTGTGCAAATTTTGCTCTTCTCCTTGGACGAATGACGTTGTGAACCCTTTGTTTATTGGTTTTGCGTGTGAGACTACTGCCTACGCGCGATAAACACTATTGGCCACAATGGTCCTGTCACGGTCGCCAGCGCGGAGAGAAATTTAACTCGACTTCCCGTTTTTAGGCGAAAAATCAAAGTTGCCACATTCAAATTGCCGATCCCTTCTCTTCTCCGAACTGACTTTACTTTAAACTACAGATTCTTCACTCTCGACATTCTAAATGTGTTAACCGTGTAATCGAACTTCGTTTTTAAACCCAAAGCCTCCCCCGTCGGGTGCGATCACCCCGCATCAGCTCTTCCTTGACCATTGGGCTAGCGATTACTGCGAATGTCAATTCTCACTTCCCCCTATTCTCTCTGTGACCGGACAATGCCGTATAATGATTAAAATCACTTACTACTTAGGTCGCCAGTTATTTTCACCTCCAAATAACAAGGATGTTACTGAATTTCCCTTGGATCCCTGTCGCTCGTTGGCTGGATCGCTCGTTCGGGATGTCTCGTTGGTGTGCTCGTGGCTCAGGAATTTCCTCGTTTTGCGATGCTGAAATCTTTTCGAAACACTCGCGAGGATAGGGCGTCGAAATGACGAGAATGATTCGTGTATATTTAACAACGAATTTATTAACAAATAATTAAACACGCACACGACACAATCACACAACGTTCTTACAATATTTACCGACTTTATATTTACTTGGAACTGCTCGGTTCCGACGCGTGACACACGCTCATCGAGATTTTAC